AAAAAAAAAAAAAAAATATCAGAGAAACAATTACAAGGAAGAATATTCTAACCAACTATTAACAGCAGCATTCACCACAGAGTGTTCAGGCCTGAGGGATTTACGAAAAACCCAGTGATTTTGAGACTTCCAAAATTTCGCAAAGGAGATATGCAGTCAGTTGGATTTTCTGATTGGCAGTATTTAAAGATTTCATTGGGCAAATTACATACCACTATGCTTTGAAGTTAGCCGTGTCGAGGTGTTGTCCATCCCAGGTAACAGGAGCAAGTTTCCAGATCCTCTGAGATCTTGAGCAGTGAAAGAACATGTGGTCCTGGGATTCTGTGGCTTCACCATAGATTTTACATGTTGGGTCTAGATCAATGCCTTTCTTCAAAAGATTGGTCCAGACAGGGAGAATAATATTCAGACCTCTCCATAGGAAATGTTTCAGGTTACCTTTGATTGGGAGGCTCCAAAGTTTTTGTCTGGCATGCTTTGCATTTTTCTAATGTGTACTGGATTCTGGTAGGTCTAAGTTCTTCCATTTTTCCTCAGCCAGTGTAGCATAGCTTGAGGTTGCTGAAAATTTCCCATTTTTCTCCCAATCCCAGATGAGTGTGTCTTCTGAGTGATGATCCAGTTGTCAATTTCCATTATTGCCTTTTGCTCATAGTCTGTGAAACAGTTCCCTAAAAATGCCTTTGTCCCATCTCCTGCCATTTGTCTCAATGAGCTAATGCACATGGGTGAAACCACTGAGCCTTGGAATTTTGCCTTTTGGTTGTCTGGAAGGTGTGGTGGAATCCAGATGCCCATTGTTGATCTTGTACCAGACCCCACATAAAAAATCCTTCTTGACTTTGAGCCAGCTGCTCCAGACCCATGAACTGTTTTGCTTTTTTGTGACTGACAATAAGCTGCCTCCTGAGAAATATCTGGCTTTTAGTAGCGTAATGAGAAGAAGCTGTGGTTCTGACATTATCCTCTATAGCTGCCTAGAAATCATGGCTTTATTGAACAGGTGGTGGTCCAAAAAGCCTGCCCTCTTCTATCTTTGGGTAGGGTAATGTGATTCCAAGACTTCCAGTGCAGACCTTGTTTGGTTGAGTCTCCTTGGTTCCACCAGAATTTGGCAAAGTGTTGGGCCATTTTTTGATTGATTCCTTTGGGGAGCAAAAAACAAGTCATGGGATATGTTGGAAGAGCACTAAGAACTGATTTGAGGAGGACTTCTCTACCTGCAAAGGAAAGAAATCTGGATTTCCAGTTCAATACTCTTTTCTTGACTGAGTTCTCAATAAAAGCAAAAGTATCAAGCTTGGATTTTCCTATTCCTAAGGGCAACCCGAGGTATTTTGTGGAGGGTGAAATTCCAAGGAGAATGGTATAGATAGAAGATTTCATAGATGGGGGTGTATTTTTACTGAAGAAAATGTTGGACTTGGAAAGGTTAACCTTTTGACCTGTGATACTTTGGTTTATCTACAGAATGCCAAGGATAGCGGAGGCTTGGTCAGAGGAGGCTTTTGTGAACAAGAGGTTGTCATCCGCAAAGCAAAGGTGAGTGAGGTTTGGACAGCTTGAACTCAGCTTAATACCTTTATATACACCCCTGTGAACTGCAATGCTAATCAGATGAGTGAAAATTTCAGAAATTAAAATAAAAATATAAGGTGAGAGTGGGTCTCTCTGTCTAATTTCCCTGGTGGGGGTTACAAAACCACAAGGATCTCCATTAAGATTAAAAGAAAAAGTGGAGGAAGAAATGCAAGAAATTATCCACACCACAAAAGACTTATGAAAACCAAGTTTTAGCAAAAGCAATCTCACTCAATCCCATTCAACCCTGTCAAAGGCCTTAGACATGTTGATGGGTCTACTCTCAGATCCGGAGTGAACCGGTGGTAAGGAGCTCAAATCTGTTTGAATCGCCTTCGAACCGTTGCTAGACCGCGAGAACACCTACAAAAACTCAACGCCAGAGGTGTTTCCGGCGGAGAGCCTCCGACGCTCAAGTTAGTATGTGAGAGATATGAGGAGAGACTACGCAGCAGCTATGAGGGAGAGTTGAGAATGAATGAGAGTTAGGGTTTAGGGTTACCTCATCTCCTTTATATAGGAGGGAATACTTACTTGAAGTATCCGAAATGCCATAGTCGGTGGACCTAAAAGGTCTAAATTGCCCCGGTCAATTCGTCTCCCCTCCTTGCTGAGTCATATCAAGATTCCTTCTTATCCACTGAAGGACAAGAGGTTCCGAGAAATGTACCAAGTGTATGGAATCGTCGGTGTTCCTCACGTCTCGAGGTACGAGGAGACGACATCGAGTATGAACGAGTCGACTCAAGATCTTCTGGTTATTCGGAGGCTACGCTCTTGTTGGTCTTCTTAAATAGATGTCAACTTTCGGGAAGTCGACTGAACAATGTCGACTGAACAATGTCAACTTTTGGGAGTCGACTTGTATGGAATCTGCCATTTCTCAGCATCAATCTTGTTAAGAGTCGACTTGGAGGAAGTCGACTTCAACATGTCGACGTGTGTATGTCGAGAAGTTGAACGGTTTGAGGCACTTGTCCGGTCGAGTAGAGAGCCTTTGGGCCGGTATATCTTTATATGGCTATATCATCTAGTCTATAAGCACTCGAATGCTTAAGAGTAAATTTGGTGGTCAAGTGTCGCGCTTATTCGACTTAAGTGATCATATCTGCGTTTACTCGTCGAGTCTATACCACGTCTCGTCATTTCGTCAAAATACCTTCTCATCCTTTATGATTACCTTTTGGATAAGTCTGACATTCTGACAGACCTTTTCGAATTTCAAATTTCAAAAACCCTGAAGTGACGCACGTCATCTCAATCGCCGACACTTCAAATTCTGCGCTTCATCAGGATCGTTGGTTTTCTTAGTGATTCAATGGTCCACATCCATCATTATCATATGTAAATACACTTCAATCTTTCAGAAAGTCACTTTTCGCATTCTTGAATTTCTTGTTCTCTCTCAAGTTCCTTCAGACTTTTCGGCGATTTTCGTGTTTTGGCTTTACCGGCGCTCTCCACTTCCGGCGACTTCAAGTTTTTCTCTGAGTTCAACCGATCCAGACACCATGAGTAAGTTTGCTGATTTCTTTTTAATCTTTCAATTTTCACCAATCTTTCCTTCTCGAATATTTCTGTGTTCTTCTGGGTATGAGGTTTATGCTGTGTTCTTCATATTTCTCAAACTTTTTTCGTGTGGACTTTGTGTTGGATCTTTTGTACGCATGTCTGTCTCGGACTTTCTGTTTGTGCCTCGTTGGTTGTCGATTTTCGGCATGAAGTCGACTCTCGCCTTTTGTTAAGTCGACCCCTGTTGACTAAGTGACCTCTCTTTTTCTTTTTTCCTTTCTCGAGTGGACTCATGTCGACTTACTGACTTATCCTTTGTCGAATTGATTAAATATCACGACTCACTGCCTCTTTGTATGTTGATAAAAGTCGAGTTGCTGAGACTTTCTCGTATCTCTCGACTATCTTGTAGCAATTGCCCCCCTTTTGTTCTTTTATCCTCTGTCGACCTTAGTAGGTCGGCTTTATTTGCTCTGACCAGTCTTTATTCGTGACTTTACTAATTTCAACCTCGTTCTTCTTTTTCCTCTTTTAGCTTCCAACTCCGACTCCTCCCCTGACACGCTTGATCGACGAGGGCCCTCAATCGTCCGATTCAGTCTAAGTGGTCGGTTACAAGATGGTTTCGGCACCTCTCACTCTATCTTCCCGTGCTTCTTCTTCCCGTGTCGACTGGAATGAATATGACCAAGCGCTTTTGGTGGGGGGCTTGGTTGACGTTTTGAAGAGTCTTCTCGAGGGAGTTCTCCTCGTCTCGACCTCATCCCTCGAGGTATTCCCCTTAGGTTCTTAGATATTCCTGTATATAGAACGAGTCCTATATCTGTACCAATAATTACTCCTCTTCTCGACTCTCAAAGTGTTGTATCAATAGCTAGACCAAGTCGTCTTCGGTCTTTGTTTCCCTATTCAAGACGAGCTCCTACTGATCAGCAACATGTATAATATTCCAATAAACCAATTTTCTCCTAATGCCATTCGCATTATGATAGCTTTTATAGTCGTCTCCCGAATAATACTTAAATTATTTTCGCCCGAGTTCTTCTTTTACTTTTATGGCTACCGACTTTCCAAAGGCGCCCACTGCTTGGGTCGTCGCATCGACGTCACTTTCCTCGACGATCTCTCGTCAAATGTTACCGAATGAAATTCGAAGTTTGTCTTTGTTCGGCCTGCTTTCGGCATGTATCCCTATGTAGATACTTGGATTACTTCGAAGGTAAAGCAAAATAAACGGCCTCACTCCGATGAGTTCGCCATGCTGTTAGCTGAACTCAATAAGCACACTTACAGTGCTCGTCAATTGATTAAGGATCGTGAATTGGTTAATCACACCCGAATCGTCATCTACGAGAATCTTTCTCGTCTCGATGATCCTCGTAAGCTTCTGATGTTTCTTTTCATGAAGTCCATTTCATGTTTTGATTATTCGTATTGTGATCGCTAACTGTTGTTTGATTGCTCACTGTTTCTTGTTTCACTCCAGTTAAAGCACTCAAGCGCTTTGAGTTGAAGAAAAAGCAGCCGACCGAGAAGTTGGCTGGTGGTTCTGTTCCACCTCCTCGGCCCCTGAGCGGATCTGGGTCGAGGCCCGCTGCCGCAGCAGTCGAGACGATTGTTGCGAGAAAATCTATGGTTGAGAACCCTAGTGCTGCCAACCCGCACAAATCGTCGGGCTCTGCTTCTCAAAAAAGAGCCCAAGATGATCGGGTTGTCATCTTGATTCCCGATGACCTGAAGCGCCACAAGGTCGACAAGGGGAAGGGAAAAGCGGACGAGAAAGCTGCCCCATCTCCCGTCACCGTGAAGGAGGTGACAGTCGGTATGCCCTCCCGACTGTGGAATCACCCTGATTCCCACCAGGTGGCTAAGTACTTCAACTCCCTCATCCCCAAGACCGATAAGGATCGAGTCGAGGGGAATTCTTTTGAGCGTTAAAATTACGTGATCCAATGCCTTTCTCGGGTACTTTCTTCGTCGTTTAGCCGGCTTTATTCTATATTTTTCTTTGCTCGTTCTCATTTGTTTTCTTAACATTTCTTTTCCTTCACAGTTTCTCGCTGCGGTGCTTCTCATACTCGAGGAAGAGAGCAAGACTCCCACTGTCTCCGCCCAGGCTCTCCAAGAGAAATGCGAGGCTCAACGTCAAGAAATCAAGACGCTCAAAGAGGACTTGGAGGCCTCGAGGGCTCTTGTCGACAAGTTGAAGGCTGACAAGGCGGTCGTCCGTCATCAAAATGAAAAACTAAAGGCTGACCTCGAGAAGGCTCGCGATGAGAGCCTGGTCGAGAGAGAGAATGGCATCGAGGAGGGACGAAGGACATTCCTAAAGTCCCCTATGGGTGCTGTCTTCCTCGAGACCTATCGTCAAGAGGTTGTCTGGGCCTTCTACAACTATCATGCTTTTCTCGACATGCTCTGCGCCACCACTCTTCAATACTTCAAGCACACGTTTGCTGCATGGGAGGCGGTGGCGGCGGGGTCTGAGTTTGCTGGGAAACTTAGTCGCGAGGAGGTCAAGGAGATGCTTCCCGACCTCGAGGGCTATGAAGGCGACACGGCTCTCCCGGACGATTATCCGTGGTGGTCGGGACTCGAGGCCTGGGCCATTCGCAAAGCTGGCCTAAGCGTGCAACTCGAGGTTCCACCCACCCCCTTGGCCGGTTCGATCGAATTAATCGAGCCAAGTGGGGCTAGTCGCGAGTGAGAGGTCGAGGAGATGGGGGCCGAAAAGCAAGGGACGGAGCCGCTTGTCGACGAGAATGTTGAAAAAGATGCCGACAATAAAACTGAATCTATTGGGATGGATGGTGGAGACGACACCACTGAGAAATCGACTGGCGATTCTTAGACGTGTTTGTCTGTTTTTGGGTTGTGCCGGTGTTTGCTTGTTTTGTTTGTTTTCCAATTGTCATACCTCGACCTGCTTTTCAAAGTTGTAATGGTTGAGGTGAATCGGATGTAATCGAACTCTCATTATTAGTATAATGCTTTACGCCGTTTTGCCTTATTTATTGTACTTCTTTTAATTCTTGCTT